GCATACTCAGGGAGAACACTTATACCTTGAAATTTTAGTGAGGGGTCATCTTATAATGCTACCGTCATACTAAGCAAAATAAGATGCATAAAAGATAAACATCACATGCAATCAAAATATGTGACATGATATGTCCATCATCATCTTGTGCCTTTGATCTCCATCTCCAAAGCACCATCATGATCTCCATCGTCACCGGCTTGACACCTTGATCTCCATCGTAGCGTCGTGGTCGTCTCGCCAACTATTGCTTCTACAACTATCGCTAACACATAGTGATAAAGTAAAGCAAATACATGGCGTTTGCATTTCATACAACAAAGAGACAACCATAAGGCTCCTGCCGGTTGCCAGTGACTTTTACAAAACATGATCATCTCATACAATAACGTATATCACATCATGTCTTGACCATATCACATCACAACATGCCTTGCAAAAACAAGTTAGACATCCTCTACTTTGTTGTTGCAAGTTTTACGTGGCTGCTGCGGGCTTCTAGCAAGAACCGTTCTTACCTACCCATCAAAAACCACAACGGTGATTTATCAAGTTTGATGTTTTTACCTTCAACAAGAACCGGCCGCAGTCAAATTCTTTTCAACTAAAGTTGGAGAAACAGACACCTACCAGCCACCATTATGCAAAACTAGTTGCATGTGTGTCGGTGGAACCGGTCTCATGAAACTGGTCATGTAAGGTTGGTCCGGGCTGCTTAATCCAACAATACCGGCGAATCAAAATAAGACATTGGTGGTAAGCAGTATGATGATCACCTCCCACAACTCTTTGTGTTCTACTCGTGCATATCATCTACGCATAGACCTGGCTCGGATACCACTGTTGGGGAACGTAGCATGCAATTTAAAATTTTCCTACGCTCACGCAAGATCTATCTAGGAGATTCGTAGCAATGAGAGGGGGAGAGTGTGTCCACATACCATCGTAGACCAAAAGCAGAAGCATTTGACAACGCGGTTGATGTAGTCAAACTTCTCGTTCCGACCGATCAAGCACCGAACGTACGACACCTCCGAGTTTTGCACACGTTTAGCTCGATGACGTCCCTCGAACTCTTGATCCAGGAATGTGTCGAGGGAGAGTTCTGTCAGCACGACGGCATGGTGACGGTGATGGTCAAGTGATCCGCACAGGGCTTCGCCTAAGCACAACGAAGATATGACCGGAGGCGTAAACTATGGAGGGGGGGCGCCGCACACAGCTAAAAATTGTTGGTATGCATTCTAGCAGTGCTCCCCCATCATATATATAGGTTGGAGGGGAGGAGAGGCAGCCAAGGGGGCACCCCAAGTAGGAGGAATCCTACTTGGGGTCCTCCCAATTCGGCCTCCCCCCTTTCCTATTCCTATTCGGTGTAGGAAGGGAAGAGGGGGGAGGGGGAATCCTATTCCCTTTTTCCTTTCCTCCTTCCCCTTTTCTACTCCAATTTAGCCTGCCCATATGAGAGGGGCGCACCAACACCTTAGGGTCTTGTCCATCCCCCTCTTGGCCCATTAAGGCCCATGTAGTTGCCGGGGGGTTGCTCGGAACCCCTTCCGGTGACCCGATATGCACCCGGTACCCCTGGAACACTTACGGTGTCCAAATATCGTCATCCAATATATGAATCTTTACCTCTCGACCATTTCAAGACTCATCATCATGTCTGTGATCTTATCCGAGACTCCGAACACCATTCAGTCACCAAATCACATAACTCATATAATACAAAATCGTCATCGAACGTTAAGCGTGCGGACCCCACAGGTTCGAGAACTATGTAGACATGACCGAGACACCTCTCTGGTCAATAACCAACAGTGGAACCTGGATGCTCATATTGGTTCCCACATATTCTACGAAGATCTTTATCAGTCATACCGTAATGACAACATACGTTATTCCCTTTGTCATCGGTGTGTTACTTGCCCGAGATTCGGTCGTCGGTATCTTCAAACCTAGTTCAATCTTGTAACCGGCAAGTCTCTTTACTCGTGCCATAATGCATCATCCTGTAACTAACTAATTAGTCACATTGCTTGCAAGGCTTATTATGATGTGCATTACCGAGAGGGCCTAGAGATACCTCTCCGATACTCGGAGTGACAAATCCTAATCTCGATCTATGCCAACCCAACAAAAACCTTAGGAGATACCGGTAGAGCATCTTTATAATCACCCAGTTACTTGTGACGTTTGATAGCACACAAGGTATTCCTCCGGTATTCGGGAGTTGCATAATCTCATAGTCAAAGCAATATGTATAAGTCATGAAGAAAGCAATAGCAATAAAACTTAATGATCATTATGCTAAGCTAGTAGATAGGTCTTGTCCATCACATCATTCTCTTAATGTTGTGATCCCGCTCATCAAATGACAACACATGTCTATGGTTAGAAAACTTAACCATCTTTGATTAGCGAGCTAGTCTAGTAGAGGCTTACTAGGGACATTGTGTTTTGTCTATGTATCCACACATGTATCAAGTTTCCGGTTAATACAATTCTAGTATGAATAATAAGCTTTTATCGTGATACAAGGAAATATAAATTACAACTTTATTATTGCCTCTAGGGCATATTTCCTTCAAAATATACTCCACAAAACTTTGCTCGGACAAATCCTCCTCTACTTTGTAGGGTATCTATTAGAGTTCGCCGAAAATGTAGGTGGGAGGGGAGTAATCGGTGTAGTTTTGTGATCATGGTGAAACGAGTCAACATTTGTCTCTCACTTGCCCCATATCCAACTTATCGTGATGAACAATACATGTGTCATTGAACATACCTCCTCTTAATATTATCACCAATTTGTTTGGTAACTGGCTAGGTAGGGTTGAGCCCAATACTACGGGATGAATTAGTTTGTGCATTAATTTGTGCTATTTGGAACTATCAGAATGATTGTGTTTTTAATAGGACAAATATCACAAGCTTTTTGCAGGTTATCTACCAGGGCGACTAGCCGGATCCCTAAGTGGTCATTACCACACCGTGTGATAGGAGGGGGGTCTTATGGATTTTGGATGCAACCAATGAGAGACGGTAGCACGGGGTACATACAACCTATTTAGATGGCGGTCCATTAATAAGATATGTGTTTAGGCCCAGTCCTATTTTGCTAGTTGTGGCTATTTGTTTGATTTCTGGTTCTTGTTTGGCAACTTGAGATGTTACTCATACTTTGAGACCTGATACTTTTTAATAAATGACTGTATGCATCGCGTGATGCAGAGGCCGACACTGGTGGTGGTTAGAACTAAGCCCGGGCATGAACAGGTCGGGCCCGGCCAGGCTTAACATTTGGGCTAGGCTTGGGCCTTCTTTTACAGCCCGGAAGATAGTTCGGGCCAGGCTCGAGCTTCTCTTTATCTGTATTTTAGGACGAGCTTCAGGGATTTGGGCCAAGCTTGCACGTGAGTACACTAAAAACAAAGTTCGAGCCGGGCTTTCGAGCTTGATTTTGGGCTGGGCTCGGGCTTGAAAACATAGAGTATTTTGGGCTTTGGCTGGGTTGGGCTTGAGAAATGAAGGTCGGGCTTTTACAAGCCCGGCCCGACGTTTGCCCGGGTTTAGTTAGAACAATCAAACCGCCTACAAATGGTTGGTAATAACAAACAACATCTAGTGTCGAAACCGTGTGCGCATAGTGAGTAGCTTGGGACACAGACTTCGCTTCTCTTTGTCTATGGGTTCTATGCCTTCATTTCATTTTTCGTCTATTTTCCTTATGTAAGACCCTATACCAAGCCCCTAGGACCGAAGACGTTGTCTTGACCTCACCCGCAGATCGAGTTCAGCCATACCGTTGAGGAAGGCCTCCGCCAACGACCATGACCATGGGGAGAGGAAGAGACTGTGTAGTGCCTATATTGAGATGGGAGTTTTTTTTTTGAATTGTTGTGACTAGAGAATGAATCGTAATTTTTTAGTGTTCTATTTTTACATCAGAGCTTTGAGTGATTATTATTTGGATTTACTAGAATGGAGCAAACTTCTGGCCAAGGACTATTTATGTTGATCTACGCGATAATAACTTAGTCCCACCAGATGGGTGGCTTATAATTACTGTTTAATCTTTATTAATGTGACAAAATTTTAAAATATCTGCACCGTAATAATTCGGTCCCACCAGATGAGCAGTTCGTATTTGTGATTAATTGTGCGAATATCGACGGAGTCTCTAATTAGTACAGAAATAGATTAATAGATAGATTACACATATAGGATTCACGTCAAACAATCCCTTCGTGCTCTATCAAAGAATAAAAAATTGTATTCATATACTATTTATTTGACTATTTTTTGAGGAATTGAGCACTCACTTGAAAAATGTAGAGAATGATTTACCAAGGTTGTTCTGGAAATCCAAAGGCCACATCGAGCTTTGCTCACGCCATAGAAGTCCGAAAGGAAGACACCCTTGATATAACCCAGTATATGTTTTCTATTTTTCTTCTTTTGTAAGGGTGGTGTTGTAAGGGTTAGACAATTTTAATACATGGCCTTGGCCTTCTTTCAAAAAAGGAAGAGAGTGTGGATCCCTTGATTCATAAACAAGCATTGCCAACAGTAGTTGGTCTCTACTAATTGGTGATGTACTCCATCACTCAATAAATGCTATAAAAAGTTGTGACCTTTATGAAAAATAAAGCATGTTGCCACGACCCGCACAATCTCGACAAATGGAGGACCAACAAAACAATAAAACAGAAATTCCCAAAGGCACACACCTCGCCACTTTTTTTGCCATAAATCAATGCGGCCAAGTAATCTTGTTTCCAAAAGGACTAAACTAAACATAAATTTAAATCTCTTTGTAGTATATTTAATACAATATATATAACAATCTCCTCCCATTTTATTAGGTAAGTAGCTAGTACAATATCTTCTTGAAAGTAGCATCACACATATTCGGGAATAGGTAACCCATGAAACAATAAAACTACATATATCATTTAATGTCGAGCTTACTACCTCGAGGAGAATAGAACCACACATCAAGGCTCAATGGATGGCGCAGGTGCACTGGCCAATGCGCCACCGAACCCGCAACAGTAAATGTTCCTAGGGCAGCACACTGGATTGTACCCCACTGGTCTAGCAGCTGCATGTGCTGCCGGTGCTGCCATCATCATGAGCAAGCAGACTTGCACCATGAGAAAAACAATGATCACTTGGAAGATGTTATTTTTTGCCATTGCCTAAGAACACAGAACAACTGAGAATATGTAGTTATGCAATAGTCTGACAATCAATATGTTTTTTGTGGTCATGACTGGTACCATTGGGTCGATCTTATATAGATGTGGTTGCATTAAGCTTGTCCCTATCCAATTAATGTCATTAAACGACATGTTTCAGTCTCTTTTGCATCAAGCTTATCCTTATCCGACCCACAACAAAGGGTTGTCCTTATCCAAATAAATGCCAATAAATCGTATTAAATGTCATGAGTAGTATAGAGAAATCATCAATAGCCATGGTCATGATATAGGAAAGAAATAGAGTGTATATTAGTTTCGTCTGATTACACTTTGATCTAGTTTATAGGAAAGTAATATTAACATATACATTTCCAATTAATGTTATCAAACCAATCAAGGATTTTTTTAATATTATATTTATGGAAATCGGTCTGTATCGCTGCCAAAGTTGCATATTCGAGTCTTGTCACTCAAACTTCTGTATTTTAGTCCACGCCACTAGCGATTCCAAAGGAATTGGATGTATGCCCCACCCACCATCTCATTCCATCTGGGACTCACCTTCTTCATGTCAACCACAGCGACGAGAAGACTCGATTGACCCTTCCGGCTATGTGGCGGCACACTGTTGAGGCCATAATTTCCATTTTTCCACTTTGACATCGTTGAGGGAGTCCTGGATTAGGGGGTCCCTGGGCGTCCGGGCTATGTGACGTGGGCCGGACTGGTAGGCCGTGATGATACAAGATAGAAAGCTTCCCCCCGTATCCGGATGGGACACTCTTTGGCGTGGAAGGCAAGCTTGGCGTTTGGATATGAAGATTCATTTCTCTGTAAACCGAATTTATACCAACCCTAGCCCCCTTCGGTGTCTATATAAACCGGGTGGTTTAGTCTGTAGAGGTAATCATAATCATACATGCTAGACATCTAGGATTTAGCCATTAAAATCTCGTGGTAGATCAACTCTTTTAACCCCTATACTCATCAAAGTCAATCAAGCAGGACGTAGGGTTTTACCTCCATCAAGAGGGCCGAACCTGGGTAAACATCGTGTCCCCTGCCTCCTGTTACCTTTGATCCTTAGACGCATAGTTCGGGACCCCCTACCCGAGATCTGCCGGTTTTGACACCGACATTGGGGCTTTCATTGAGAGTTCCTCTGTGCTGTCGATAAAGGATTCGATGGCCCCCTAATACGCCTCCGTCGTATCTACTTTTCCAAACACTTTTGCCCTTGTTTTGGACTCTAACTTGCATGATTTGAATGGAACTAACCCAGACTGACGCTGTTTTCAGCAGAATTGCTATGGTGCTATTAATGTGCAGAAACAAAAGTTCTCAGAATGACCTGAAACATCACGGAACACCTTTTCGGAAAATATAAAAAATCCTTGCAAAAGATGAAGGCCAGGGGGCCCACCACCTGTCCACGAGGGTGGGGGCGCGCCCCCTACCTCGTGGGCCCCCTGGAGCTCCTCCGACCTCAAGACCAACTCTATATATTTGCTTTCGGGGAGAAAAAATCATAGAGAAGAAATCATCACGTTTTACGATACGAAGCCGCCGCCAAGCCCTAAAACCTCTTAGGAGGGCTGATCTGGAGTCCGTTCGGGGCTCCGGAGAGGGGAATCCGTCGCCATCGTCATCATCAACCATCCTCCATCACCAATTTCATGATGCTCACCGCCGTGCGTGAGTAATTCCATCGTAGGCTTGCTGGACGGTGATGGGTTGGATGGTATCTATCATGTAATCGAGTTAGTTTTGTTAGGGTTTGATCCCTAGTATCCACTATGTTCTAAGATTGATGTTGCTATGACTTTGCTATGCTTAATGATTGTCACTAGGGCCCGAGTGCCATGATTTCAGATATGAACCTATTATGTTTTCATCAATATATAAGAGTTCTTGATCCTATCTTGCAAGTCTATAGTCACCTATTATGTGTTATGATCCGTTAACCCCGAAGTGACAATAATCGGGATACTTACAGGTGATGACCGTAGTTTGAGGAGTTCATGTATTCACTATGTGTTAATGCTTTATTTCGGTACTCTATTAAAAGGATGCCTTAATATCCCTTAGTTTTCGTAAGGACCCTGCTGCCACGGGAGGGTAGGACAAAAGATGTCATGCAAGTTCTTTTCCATACACTACTGGAATCAGGTACTTTGCCATCTGCCAGCTCTTTGCCGTCAGCTAGCGGACGGCAAAGAAGCTCTTTGCCATCAGCTACCAAAAAGCAGATGGCAAAGAACTGGCTGATGGCAAAGACCTAATTTGCCATCAGCCAGTTCTTTGTCGTCGGCTAGCGGACGACAAAGAGGGAGGGGGCCCCACTGACGAGCTGCTTAAAAAATCCTAACTCCCCCCTCTTTGCCGTCCGCTAGCAGACGGCAAAGAGAAAATAAGGGACGACAAAGGGGGGCAGACGGCAAAGAGGGAGGGGCCCCTCTAACGGTAACGGCCGCGCCCCACCCCGCCCCCCCCTCTCTTTCTCTTCTTCACACGCGCGCCGCCGCCCCCAGCACTCGCCG